TTCAGCTGCCTGGCTGTATGTTCTGGGTTTCACTGTGAGGTCTTAGACAAGAGATTTCCGTGACCTTTAGCAAATAATCATGCTCACCTGGTAGGGCTGCTATGAGGATTAAACCCGATAATCCGTGAAACAGAACCCTCTCTGGAACATAGACTGTGTTTAACGATTGATGGTTACAATTACTCTCTGTAACGACAGAACCTCGGAGAAATCACTTTGAGATAATCTTTCCCTTTTAAATTGTGAAAAGGAAAAATAATGATACCAACCAACACAACCACTTTCATTTTTGTATAGCATCGTATGGTTCCGAGGATACTTAGAGTGAGATATCATTTTGTATTGTGCTGCTTAAATGTAAGCAGCCTCCATGTTCCTACACAGGAACTCAGTTCCAAACGGCTGTATAAGATTCCATTGAATTGATACATCAAACTTTACCTAACGTTGTTCTTATGGTTAAATATTTGGATGGGGCGCCTGGGTGGCTCAGTCGGTGAAGCGACCGACTTCGGCTCAGGCCATGATCTCGCGGTCCGTGAGGTCTAGCCCCGCGTCGGGCTCTGTGCTGACAGCTCAGAGCCTGGAGCCTGTTTCAGATTCTGTGTCTCCCTCTCTCTGACCCTCCCCTGTTCATGTTCTGTCTCTCCCTGTCTCAAAAATAAATAAACGTTAAAAAAAAAATTAAATATTTGGAATTTTTTGGTTTTGTGACTCTGGGTACCACTGACTAATATCACTTTGTAGAAACCAATATATTTTTTCTCATTAAGATAAAGCAGCCAGGAGGCGTCTCGGTGGCTCAGTTGGTTAAGCGTCTGACTTTGGCTCAAGTCATGATCTCACGGTTTGTGGGTTCGAGCCCAGAGCCTGGAGCCTGCTTCGGATTCTGTGTCTGCCTCTCTCTCTGCCCTCCCCCACTCGTGCTCTGTCTCTCTCTGTCTCTTAAAAATGAACAAACGTTTAAAAAAAATTTTTTTAAGATAAATCAGCCAGGACCATCTCCCTTACCCCTCTGCCTAAGGGCCTTTGCTTCGCTTACATCCTCCTCCATATTGTTTTGACCTAAATTATGTTCCTTATAATCTACTCCCCAATGTTTCCCAAACTCTATTTACAAAAGCCAAATCTCCATTACTGTTTCTTATTTCCCTCTGCAGATTCCAGGCTCTCCACACTGTTCCTTGCTGTGTCATGTCCCAGATACACTCACTGCCCTCCCCCACTTCCTCGAGCTCGCAGTCCACTTCTGGGGGCATCAAGTATGGGGACTACAAGGTTAGGCCCATTCGGCACACTTTATGCTTGCCTTCTTATGCTGGGCATATTCTCAGAATCCAAAAGGGAAGTAATATGATTCTTTCGAAAGCATCGTTGCTCCCGTTCTGTGTCTGGAAAACTCCCTCCTCCTTCAATACTCACCTCTGATGCACCAACCCCCAGGCGTAGCGGCTCACTGCTCCACCCTCGCTGTTCCCAGGGTACTTGCTACATCTTGGTATCCTCAACATCCAACAGTGATTGTCCGTCGTAGATGCTCAGAAATGCTCAAAAACCAGTGACTGCGCATTACAGATGAATAAGTCAGTTATGGACAGACCTGTGTACGTGAAGTTAGAAACTCTTTAAATTGCCTGTTTGGATGGGATTGGTGGCAGCTATTAAGACTAGCAAAAAAAGATGCTGGAAAGTCAGGCTGGCCCAAAGTGTTGTCCCCCACTGGATTTTTTGTCTGCGGATCCTAGGTTTTCACCTCTTAAAATATAAATGAGGGTGTAGCATTAGCTTACCAGGAGGACTGAGCAACCCCTGTTTTCAGTGAGGCTCTGATGTGAGTATTGATGGATGTACTCTATTTTTTGCTCGCTCTTATCACAGATGCTCATTTAACAGAGCTGCTAAATGCATACCCCACCCTGTCCTGTCCAACGCCAGCCCATCTCCAAGCCTCTTCCACAGCTGATTTGTTGTCTGCAATCCATCTCATTTTTGTCTTTTCTCCGAATGGAGCGTTGTGTCTAGCCAGTCTGACTAAAAGCGTGAATTCAATTTGTGATCTGGAAGGACTGACGGTGATCAAGTCACTAACAGCCATGACTTGCTGGTTACGACCAGTAACTATAAGTAATTTAATAAAAGATTGTTGACCCCCCCCCCCCCCGCAAAGAAAGTGGAATTGTTATGAACAAATGAGGAGGAAGCATCATGAGAAAACGGAGATTTAAAAATTTTTTTTTTCAACGTTTTATTTATTTTTGGGACAGAGAGAGACAGAGCATGAACGGGGGAGGGGCAGAGAGAGAGGGAGACACAGAATCGGAAACAGGCTCCAGGCTCCGAGCCATCAGCCCAGAGCCTGACGCGGGGCTCGAACTCACGGACCGCGAGATCGTGACCTGGCTGAAGTCAGACGCTTAACCGACTGCGCCACCCAGGCGCCCCGAGAAAACGGAGATTTAAACAGCACTCCCAAAATGTGGCCCCGAGCAGCAAGAGGGTGGTAGACTGTGGGCATCTCTTAGGAAAGAAGAGGAGTGTACACGATGGGGAAGAAGGGAAGACAAGGGAGGAGTGGTAGCCCAGGGATCAGGCTTCCTGTGCCTAGCGACACCCAACACTCACCCGCTAGGCTGGTGAATGGGCTGCAGGCTCTGAGGGAAGCCAGTGACACCCAAGTTGGATCAAGCTTGCAGGCCTTGGTACCACTGGACCAGTGCCTGTTAGTGCCAGGCAACCTTATAGGCTGTCAGACCATCCAGGAGCAAGGAAAGATACGCTCATTGGCCCTAGGAAAGCTCTTTAAAAACTCGAAGCTTTGCGTGTGATTGAGGTGCATAAGCTACAAGGCAGAGTATTGAAATGCAAAAGTCTGCTAAGGAATACAACCAAAGCAATGCCAAAGAATTTAATCTAAACGCAGACACGTAACAAAATCATAATTCTGTTTGCTTGGCCCAGATGCCTGAAGCATCTTGAAAGAAGGCACATTTCTGCACCTGAATAATGTTAATCTTGGGCTTAGAAAGCATTGGAGTGAATATGGAGAGTTTTGAGACTGCTAAAAATCACTTCTGATAACTATTAGGTATTCTAGTAATGCAACCAAATAGTTATTAGAAAATTGCAATGTAGAAGACATAGTACTGACAAACGATGGTGATGACAACACCTAATCTTTATTATGGTACTTTAGAGTTGACACCAAGCCTTTTACGTGGGGGAGGATGCTCATCGGTGTCCAAATAATATGCACGTGTGCAATCTGTTTTGAGGCATGATTTTCGCCCCTCAAAAGCTTACGGTGCAGCCACAAAAGAAAGACATGAACACAATGTAATATAATACAAGCTGGATGATGCTAAAAGCTAGAATACAGGTAATAAATTATGATTTTCAAGGGCTAGGCTACAGAAAGGAAGCATAATTTAAAATGTACTTTGAACTTCTGATAGGTAGAGGTGTGAGACAGGCATTTTAAGCAAAGAAAACATCACGTACAAGGGCAAGAAATGGAAAATTGCAACGTGTTCAAAGAATGATAGGAGACACCAGAAGAGTAGGTTGTGGTGGACATCTGTTACTTTTGCCTACTCAATATCCACTCTCTATTCTCTTCCTAGTGGTAAATGGTTCCTTTGGGGGAACCCATCTACTCTTGGTATCTAACAAGTGGAGTTGACCTTACTCCGGGAGTCAAGGCAGGGCCAGAGTGATCATCACTTGACCAGTCACTGCCTTCTATCTCCCTGGATATAGCAATTGCTTCAGAGTTGGGTACACAACTCAAGTTATCCAATGTCCCAAGGCGAAATCTCAGGAATTTTGTTGGAAGTTTGGAAAGAAACATTCTCCTTCCATGAGATTAGTAGCTCTAAAGAATAATGAAAATCTGGAATATTCTGGAAAATCTGGAATTGTGGTCTCTCTGAGGAGAGTGCCTGACATGGAGAAAGGCCGACAGATTTATACACCTGGATCCTGTCATGTCTAAAACAATCTGCCCCTTGACTTTTCAGATACAGGAGATGACACATTCCCCACGTGTTTAGCCAGTTTGAATTTTTTCCTATAATGCAGAGCTGAAGACAGATTAGAAAGGGCCTTCATGGATTCATGAATTCATGGGAATTCATTCTCTAGTCAACAAAAAGCCACGGGATGTTTTAGGAAAGTGATGGAAGTTGAATTCCATGCCCAAAACAGTTTGGAGGCACTGTTGGAGACAGGGAAACCAAGGAAGTGACTTCTGCAGAGGCAAAGCCAATGGTGAGAATTGTTGGCTCTTTGTGAGTTCCACGGAATCATCATTGCCTTCATTTCTGAAGCTCAACGTGCACTAGTATTTTTCTAAGCACTTGCACACCCATAAACCCACTTGGTGCTCACCCTAACCTTATGAGAAAGGTCCAGTTATTATCATTTAACACACCAACCCTGTGAGGATGGTCCAGCTTATCCCCATTTTGCAGAAGATGGAACAAACCTCCAAGGTCCCACAACTAACCAAATGGCAGGTTGGACTTTGGGAGTCAGGTCTCAGGGCCTGTCTTCAAAGTAGACAACTGCCAACACCATAATGTCTTGGAGGTGACAAACTATCCTCCCCAGTGGCCCATCCTTTCCTCCCAATAGCCTGGAAGTCCATATCGAGAATCATTTCTTTGACCTAGAAGATGAAGTTGGAGGTGTTGCTTCTAGAATGCTCCAGTTACATTCTCACCTGACTAGGAGGATAGGGTGCTGACCTTCACATTAGAAGAACAGAGCCTTAAGGGGGACAGGTAAGCTTTGAACATAAAAATGTGGATGTTGGGGCATTATTTGAGGAAATGCCAGTTTCCCCTTGTATTGGCAAGAGGAGCATCTGGTGTGCAGGTGAGCAAAGAAGCGGGGGAACAAAGAGAGACTCTGTGTCCTAACAAAAATCCGCTATCCCCTTCAAAATGCAGATTTTTTTGGTCAAAATTCCCAAAAGCACATTCTTGCAATGTTATACTCACTTCCATAAATGGCCCTTGTCTGTGTTGTTTCAGTCAGTCCCTGGATACGAGGAGATGAAGTCAGGCCTCCCAAGTACTTTCGCTGTCAAGTACTCTCTCTCTGCCAGACCTTCCCACGGCCCCAGATGGTCTAGCTTCTCCTTCTTTGTCATTTCCTGAGGGGGTGTCTTTCCTGAGGAAAGAGTTAGAAAAGAGGCAAGAAGCATCGATTTGCCAGTATCAGCCCTGGCTCTCACACAATCCACCCAGTGGGCCAGGTTTGAAACAGACCATGGGTTGGTAAGTGGTTGAAGCTTGGCCCTCTGCCCATGCTTCCCTGCCTGCCCACATTCCTGGGCAGGAAGTACCACCCACTTCCTGCCCACCTCAGGCTATCTGTTCTCGTAGGGGCTCTTAATACATTCTCACCGCATTGATATAAATGATGAAGTATGCACCCTCCTGTATCACTGGGGTGATCACATTAATAAGAGCATCTGCGGGGAGAATTTAGAGGAGACGTCATGCTTCTGGAGTCACTTGTTTATTCACCCATTAAGCAAATCTTTATTGAGAACCTATAATACACCAGGGAATATTCTTGATACTGGAGATAGAGTGTTGAATTTTTGTGGAATTTTATTCTTGTAAACATACGAGCTCATTTCAGGGGGTGAGAAGTGCTATGAAGACAAAGAAATATCACTACGAATAGTTAGAGGGGTGCCTGGGTGGCTCAGTCAGTTAAGTGTCCAACTTCGAGCTCAGGTCATGGTCTCATGGTTCGTGAGTTGGAGCCCCGCATCAGGATCTCTGCCGTAAGCACAGAGCCTATTTCAGATCCTCTGTTCCCCTGCCCTGCTCCTCCCCTGTTTGTGCTCTCTCTCTCAAAAATAAAGAAACGTTAAAAAAAAAAAAGAATAGTTAGAGAGTATGAGATTTTGATTTAGGAAGAGTTTTAAGGGAAGTCCACACTGAGGAGACAGCACTGAGGCCATGGGCCAAGTGAAAATCAGAAGGAAGATCACGCTAGGCTGAAAGAAAGGAAGGAGGGACAATCACTGTTGAGGATAAGAAGGTCTGTGTGGCTGGAGCACAGAGAGCAAGTGGAACAGTCGTTCAGAATGAAGCTTGAGGAGCCATGGACCAGATATTCTTAGGGTAAAAGGAAGCCAGTGGAAAAATTTTCCCAGAAGAATGAGATGATGTGCTTTCAGGGGCGCATAAGGCAAAAAGAATGTAAGAAGACAAGTAAAGAAGCAGGAAGACCAGTCGGGAGGCTTTACGGAGGTTCAAGTGAGAGACGAAGGTGGCCTGGACAAACCCCATGTATCTAGTAACTCTTTACAGAATGGATTTTTCTCTGTTAGCTGAGCTAAAGCAATCAATTACCGAGGACAGATTTAGAACCCAACAGAGCGCTTGCTTTAAAGAGTCCCTGGACAAGCTCTGTTAGCATCGTTCCCCCAAACTGTCTAATCTGTGCCAAGCTAAGTTCTTGCCGTGTGGTGCAACGAATAGGTTACTAGATGCTTTAAGATGTGATCATTTGTGACAAACACAGAATCTTACACTTTGTAACCCCTTACGAGAATGTAGCAATAGTTTCATAGATGCACTTTTAATTGGTCTCCACGTCTCCTGAAAATTCTTATGGCGAAGTCCCAACCCCCAGGATCTCAGAATGTGACCACGTTGGAGAAAGGGTCATTGCAAATATACCCAGTTAAGATGAAGTCATGGTGAAGGTGGGGAGAAGGGCTAAAGCTCCAGTTATATTTTGAAATCAGACACTTAAATCTCACTTTGTGGGTATGTGGTGGAAAGCTCGGATGCCTGTGTTACTTGCCTTTGACTCACCTCTGATTTCAGTTGTGACTGTGGTGGACAGTTCCCAGAAGCTCACTCGCCTGGGGCTACTTCTCCAGTACCAAAAGAGTCCTCTTGGCCTACAGACAGGCTCACGGGGAGTGCAGGCTGGAGGTATTAGACACCGGGGCAACCCTCAACCAATAGGAGACTGGAGTCATACAAATGCTCCAGCTTCCTTTCAGGTGGAAGGTTCTAAAAGGCATTCTATATACTTCTCAGAGTATACGTCAGTTCAAGGCCTGTGTCAGTGACCTGGGGCACATACCCTTATCTTAACTCGTCCTTCTTCCCCTGCTCTTCCTGCCTTCTCACTCCTGCCTCCTAGGATCACCTCCCAAATAAGCTGCCTTCACTCAATTCCTTGTTTCGGCCTCTGCTTTGGGGGAACTCAAACTAAGACAGCGAATTTGCCTACTCTACCTATTTCTCATTTACCAGCAAGCTCTGCCCCTACCAAACACATACAGTTCCCTGTCCTGGCTCAAGGCTCTTGAAGAGAACACCCAGGAGATGCCACCCTCATATTCCAGTTTCTAATTTTTTCCCAAGATCTATGAAGTTTGCAACAGGAAACAGAGCTTTTCCTTAACTCCTTCAAGACATCTATCATCCATCCCTGCTTCAAAGGTTGATATCTAGCCCAACTCATGGAAATTTAACTGAAAACAATTGCACATTATAGGGAAAAGTTAAAAATTATCAAGGATCTCTTCCAGTCAAGAGAACATGGGATACTGTAAGGAAGACATAGTCTCGAAATACATAAATGACTTTGTAATGGACCTGAATGGACACATTGCCAAGTTTATAAATGATAAAAGGACAGGGATATGGCTGAGTGATAATTCGGCTGAGAGATAATATGTTTAAATGAGACTTGGCAAGAATCACTTAAAGTGCTTTGGCTGGTAGGTTCTGAACATTCTTTATTAGAAATGACTATAGATTAAAGCGAGTTGAGACAACTGAGTAATACAAAGCAGAAGAAATCCTTAAATCAAAATAGACATTTTAATAACTATGCTTTAAATAAATCCCCCCTCTGAAGTCTTCTAATGTTTAACAGCTGCAAATAAATATGACACCAGGAGAAGCTAATCAAATAGTCTAAGGAGGCAGGAAACAAAAGAGCAAAGAGGAAATGGAAATAACCCACCTTCAGTCCCCCCATGATTTCAACTTCTCTCTCTCTTCTGCTTTGCCACCCAGCCACCCCAACACCCTACAGGTTGGGCAGCCTCCTGGCGGAGAACTTTGGAGCCAGCCAGCCAGACTGGGTTTGAATCTCAGCCACGTCCTGTTTCATTTCTGCGTGCCCCGGCAGTAACTTAACTTCCCAAGCCTTAGTGTTCATGTCTGGAAAATGGGACGAAACTCACGGCATCGGGTTGTTCCAAGCGTTAACTGGGCTAATTCATGTGAATACAGAGTAAATACTCGACAAAGTATCAGCTATTGCCGTTATGATCACTACCTTGCTAAAAGAGCAGAAAAGAACTAGAGAACGAGACACAGGCTGACAGAAAAGAGAACCGATGAGAAGGATACCTTGGAGGTAACTAAGCTGGCCACCCAAGTAGGGCCAATATTCAGGCAGTGTGCCCAGGCAGGCTGACCAGTTGGTTTCAGTTTAGGTCAGTCAGTACCAGTGCTTCAACTAGTTGATACATTTTGAATCTCATCCCTGCCTCGGCTTGTGCGTTATTCAATCACAAAGAATCCACGGCATGTAAACCTTTACTATCCGTTAAGAAATCAACGTGGTAACACACATGAAAGGCCATGAAACTAGTTATGCTTTACCCCACTCCTGGGAATTTATTCAAATACAAAAGAAGAATAAGTTATAGATCCACTGATGCTTACAGAGGTGTTAGCCATGAAGGCAAAACACCGCAAGCAACGCTAAAGTCTGACAAGAGAGGAGTAGTTAAATTCACTGTCATTCCTACCTTCAGTGGAAATTATGTAGCATCAACATCATAATTATGAAAATCAAAAACCCATAGAAAACGTGAGGTGCTTACGGTATAATGGTCAGCCAAAAATGGTAGCATAAAAATCGTGACTATATTCTGATATAACATGCAAATTACATATGGATAGAAGCAACAGAATATGCAAGAATATCTGTGGCAGTTTTTCCAAAACTGTTTAGAATGTTTGTTATAATATATATTTTTTAATTTTTTTAACATTTATTTATTATTGAGAGACAGAGAGACACAGAGCATGAGCAGGGGAGGAGTAGAGACAGGGGGAGACACAGGATCCGAAGCAGGCTCCAGGCTCTGAGCTGTCAGCACAGAGCCCGACACAGGGCTTGAACTCACAATCTGCGAGATCGTGACCTGAGCCAAAGTCGGTTGCCTAACCAACTGAGCCACCCAGGCGCCACTGTTTGTTATAATATTTTAACGATTAAAAGCGGCTGGGATTTGCAGAGAAAATGGGCTTTCTCTCCTCAAAACCCCATGCTCAGAGACAAGGAATAATATCTATAAAGCATGGGCCAGAGTTCTCCTTCTCCCAGAGACACTATTATCCCACTGGGGGCTTTTGTGCAAATTAGGAACAACAGCCCCTGTCAAAAAAAACCTTCCCTAGAACGCAGACGTTTCTTTTGTATTGAGCTCTGTTCAGAGCCTTGCCATCCTCCACTGCAAGCCAGTGAAATAGGATTCTTCCAGGAATATGTTGGCAAGATTACCAAAGGGGAAGCTACCGCAGACCCAAAGATTAATTATTTTAGGCGGTATGCAGATGAGAATTAGGACAATGGCAGCTGAATAAACAAATATGAGTGGTATAAAAGCGGAATTATATGCTATAGAAATTAGATCTCTTTCCCCTTGACATCAGCAAGTTGGGTGCTTTCTAAGCATTCCTCTTTTGCCTACTGAAGATTATATTTAAACCAAACGAAGAAAGATACTGCACCCGAGATCCCACAAAAAGCTTGCGATGTGAGTCCCAGATGTAGAAGGAAGTGAATTTGCCAAACCATGCTGTCTGCACCTTCTTCAGAAGGCAGCACCCTTCCAGGCCTCTGATGAAGGGGTGAAGACAAGTCCTCTGTGGTGCAGGGGGGAGGCACCAGAATCTGGAGTCGCGGGTCCATCACAGTTCTCTTTGTTCCACATACATCAAAAGAACACAACGTGGATCCCGGGCACCTCACAGGATGGCTTGTGTCTTTCCGAGGAGCCCGCAAGTGCGTAAAAATGTTCAGGAGCACGTAAAACTTTTGCTATAAAAGGGAGCTTTTCTATTCAGCTCCCTGCGGTCCAGGACCCAGTTCTTGGAGGCATGCCCCCCAAATAGTTGAACAGTATAAGCGCTCAGGTGTACTGAAGAGAAGCAAGAAAATGTAGTTTATGCTCTGGGTGAAGAATAAGGGAGAAAGCTCTTGCGCCCTACCGTGGTTTCCGTACATCCGGGTGCCGGTCAGACTTTGCCGGCATGTTTACCTTGAAAACATGGAACCGCTTTTGCTAGAGGTTTGAATGAAGCTGGTTTGGGACTGAGGCAAACAGCTGTGCAGTGTCCTCGGGCTCAGCACACAGATTCCTACAACCCGGGTGTCCTTTTCATACCCTCCTGCCGGAGCGTGCAGAGGC